TTTACACGCTTATGTGTGTCCACACTCAGAGTCTCCTGATTCTGTCTCTGTTGTGAACTGGCATGCAATTTGGAACAGACCCTGACACCCACATGTGCACACACACACGTCTGTGTTGTGTGTATGTGCACACACACTCTCCCCACATGGCTTTCTCTAAATCAGTAAGTGCTCAGTGAGGGTGGAAAATGCATGCGCGCTTCTTACCCCATGGATGCTTGCACTCACACAACCCTCCTTGGCTCACTGCATCTCGTACGGCTGCCTTTCCCCAGAGTATGTGCTTGGTCTACAAAGCATGTTCTGTGAGACTCCCAGGTTCCCAGGTTATTTCCCTACCCCCACCTTGGGAGCTTCTGCATTTTTTGAGATGGAGTCTCGCTTTGTCACCCAGGCTGGAGTACAGTGGCATGATCTTGGCTCACTGCAACCCTCCACCTCCCGGGTTCAAGCGATTCTCCTGCCTCAGCCTCCCAAGTAGCTGGGACTACAGCCAGGCGCCACCACGCCAGGCTAACTTTTGTATTTTAGTAGAGATGGGGTTTCACCATGTTGGCCAGGCTGATCTCAAACTCCTGACCTCAAGTGATCTGCCCGCCTCGGCCTCCCAAAGTGTTAGGATTACAGTTGTGAGCCACTGCGCCTGGCCTAGATGAGGCTTTTGAGAGAGGACTTCTGAAGCCCAGAGAACTTCATGGGCCTTGGGTGGGCTGAGCCGGGAAGTCGGCTTGACCACCCTGGACCAGTATGGGTACCTGTCAGTTGAGGCCAGCTTTTCCACCCAGCCTGCCCCTGTGGGGTGGGGCCTGCCTGTACCCCTGCCCTCCCTACTGCTCTCCTTGCATCCAGAAGCTCCTGCCTGATGCCTGGTGAGAAGGCCATGGCCAAGGAGGGCTTGGCCCTGAGGCTGCGTGTGGCCTGTCTCCCTCCTCTGCAGGGTTTCAGCAGCCTGAGGCTCCGGCCCATCCGCACGCTGAGCTCTGCTGTGGAGCAGCTGAGGGGCTGCAGGGTGGTCGGGGTCATCGAGAAGGTGAGTGAGTGGACACTCGCTCTGCAGGAGGGAAACAGGGTATGCAATTTGGGGTGGTAGTGGGGAGAGAGATGTGATGTGCTGAAAGCAGGCTGTAGCAGTGGCCCCCACTCCTCCAGAGGAGGTGGGCAGGGTCAGAGGGGAGTGCAGTTGTGTCCAGCAGTTCCCACCTCTCCCCCATCCCCAACACGCATGACTCTGGTCCTGGGTCCTGGAGAGGAAAATACACGGAACGAGAAGAGGCCAATTGGCCAGGCACAGTGGCTCACACCTTGAATCCCAGCACTTTGGGAGGCCAAGGCAAGAGGACTGCTTGAGCCCAGGAGTTAGAGGCCAGCCAGGGCAACATAACAAGACCCCATCTCAAATAAAATAAAATATAAAATTAAAATAAAATAAAATATAAAAAGAAGAGGCAGACAGGCCCTTTCCACAGCCCTGCAGCTCAGACCCAGAAAACCTGCTCCTTGGGAGAGTTGGGACAGAAACTGCAGGAGGAGCGAGGAGCTGTGCCCAGGGCGCTCTGCCAGCCCTCGAGGCCATGCTCACGCCCACTTCCCGCTTCCCACAGCACCCCCACCACACTCACCCTGAACCCCAGGGCTGTAGCCAAGGCACTCCACCGAGCACAGCTGGGGACTTCCTGCGGCTGGGACGTGCTCAACTCCAGAAACCTGTCCAGAGAGGGTCCACGCTGGCCCTTCCTTGCCCAGGGCCTTGGCAAGTCTATCCTTTTTCACTCTCCTGACCTAACTCTAACTTTACCCTGTCTCAATCCCATCTCATGTGCTTTGCCTTATTCAGGGCAGACAAGAAGATAGGAGGCGACGTCTCAACCCTTACTCAGGACACTCGTTGTTAGAGTGAGGACATCAGAAGGACAGAGAATGAGGTCAAATGAGAGTCCAGCCAGTATGAGGTTCCCCTCTTCCCCGAACCCTGGAATAGTCACCCAAGAAGTTCTTTACCAAGCTGGCTAAATGGAGAGCTTCCTAAAAATACAGATGCCCAAGAATCTGTTATTTAACGTACTCGCTGAGTGATTTTGGTGGATCTAGGGGCCCACAGAGAAAAGGAGACAGTCCTGTGCTTCCCACAGGCAAGAGGATGACATGCTGCCTGCGGGAAGGCCCCGTGCTGGGCACCACCCCCAGTGGCCACAGGCAAGCCCCCTGCTCTCTGAGCTGTGGTTTCATCCTCTGGAAAGTGAGATGAGAATTCTCTGTCTATGGGGTGATCTGGGAGGTAAAACAATTTTGGGGAAAGACCTGGCACATGCTATGACACTGATTACATGTTTGATGGCTCTAAATACAAGTGACAGGAGTGAGCTGGGAGGTATGCACGCCCCTGTTCCCGGGCCTTACTCTGGCTGCTTCTCCTGGGTCCCTGGGGCAGGCCCCAGACTGTCAGCGCAGGCCCTGCCAGCTTCCATCTGCCATGGTCCCCTCCCCAATGCTCGAGTGTCAGTGGCCACGACCCAACCTTGGCTGAGCACAGCTGCTCCCAGGGACCGGCTGGGAGGTGACTGACACCGTGCCTCCCAGTAAGATCCTGCTGAACCATACATGTTATGGCGAGAGGGGTTCTGAGCTGAGTATGACAGGAAAACAGTGAGTTAAAGTTATGTTGCTTTGTTTTTTTAATGATAGGAGTTCTTAGAGTTTGTAGATGCAGATGTACACTATGACATAGAATTCCCCAAACTTGTTTAGCCTCAGGAAAGTGGTTTAGGAATCTGGTGTTTCGAGGCCCCTGCAGATGGAAAGCACAAATTAAGGCCAAGCCCAACCATTCTTTTTTTTTTTTTTTTTTTTTTTGACAGAGGGTCTCGCTCTGTAGCTCAGGCTGGAGTGCAGTGGCGTGATCTCAGCTCACTGCAGCCTCGACCTACCAGGCTCAAGCAGTCCTCCCACCTCAGCCTCCTGAGTAGCTGAGACCACAGTCTCAAGCCCTGCTAATTTCTTCTATTTTTTTGTAGAGCGAACTCGCTGTGTTGCCCAGACTGGTCTCAAACTCCTTGTCTCAGGTGATCCTCCACCTCCATTTAGGCCTCCCAAAGCGCTCGGGATTACAGGCATGAGCCACTGGCCCGCCCCATTCTATTTCAGGGCTGCCCTTCTGTTTTTTGTTTTTTATCCTGTCTCGGGTACTCAAGGACTTCACCTCCCTCCTGAGATCCTACTTCCTTTCCCTGTGTCATGCCCAAGCCATCACTTTCCCCAAATTAGGAAAGGTGTTACTACCCCTGGGCCTGGGTCCCTGCAGCCAGACTTGGATATACTGTCACCCTTGTTCCATTCCACAGCTCTGCCCAGACAGATCCGGGGAGGTGGGCAGTGCCAGCCTGCAGCAGCCCTCAGGCCCAGGGAGGAAGCAAAGGGCTTGCTCGGGATGATGCTTGAGTGATCCCTAACGTGTCTGGCTGTTGGGATAACTATAGGGGCTGAAGAGATGGTGGCAGGGAGCAGTGAGGTGGGTGGGTCGGGACTTGGTAAGCAGCCAGAATGCCCGAGGGCCTGGCCTCAGAGCCTGGGGGCCAGGGAGACGTCACCGGTGTTTGCTGAGCCTCGTGCAGGAGCCAGGCTCTGAGATGGGGTGGAGGAAGAAAAAAAAGGTCATCCAAGTCACTTCATTTGTTTGGCTTAAACACAGGGTGTTCTTTGTTTGTTTGTTTGTTTTTTAGTTGTTACCAACATGTAAAAATGTGCAGATTCTTATAAAAGTCCAGATTTCCTGCTTCTCTTGAAAAAATCAGATCTGGAAACGCTGGGCTCCCATTCCCCTGTGGCAGCAGGGAATGAAGGAGGATATGCCTGCTTTAGACAGGGCACCAGCCCTCCCGTCTGCGCCTCCACCCTGCCCATTTGCTCACATGCCTGGCCCTTGTGGCCTTTGAGTTTAAAAACTTGTTTGAAATCTTTAGGCTTGTTTGTTCCATGGGAGATTCCTCCTGGGATTTTGATACTTTGTGCATCTTTAAAGAAGAGGTTTACCATGTTTCACCAAACTTTAATGGTCCCTCTGTCCCAAGAATTCAGTGGGTGTCTATATTTACAACAATTGCTCTTTTTGCCTTCCATCTTCCCAAATGGAAAGCTCACCCAACAGTTGTACGGAACCTTCTCATTTACAGAGCTGCGGCAGTAAATCCTCACAGTCACCATGGGGGAGTGAAGGCTTATATGGTGCTGTTCAACACGGTAGTCACTAGCCACATAAGCCTCTCTGCATTCATATTCATTACCAATGAAGTCATCTGTGTCTCAGTTGCATCAGTCACATTTCAAGTGTTCAATGGCCCCATGTGGCTACTGGCTTCCATATTGGACAGTGCAGACGTATAATCCTGCCATCGTGATAAGAAGTTCAATTGGACAGTGCTGCATTTTAATAATTGTCCTACAGAGAATTAAACTGAGGTTCAAAGAATTCAACGGGGCTGGGCTCGGTGGCACACACCTGTAATCCCAACACTTTGGGGAGCTGAGGTGGGTGGATCACCGGAGGTCAGGAGTTCGAGACCAGCCTGACCAATATGGTGAAACCCCGTCTCTACTGAAAATACAAAATTAGCCAGGTGTGGTGGCACATGCCTGTAATCCCAGCTACTCGGGAGGCTGAGGCAGGAGAATCACTTGAACCTGGGAGGCATAGATTGCAATGAGCTGAGATCACACCACTGCACTCTAGCCTGGGCAACAACAGTAAAACTCTATCTCAAAAATAAATGAACAAAGAAGTAGACTGGGCGCGGTGGCTCACGCCTGTAATCCCAGTACTTTGGGAGGCCGAGGCAGGTAGATCACCTGAGGTCAGGAGTTCAAGACCAGCCTGGCCAACATGGCGAAACCCCATCTCTACTAAAAATACAAAATTTAGCTGGGCATGGTGGCGCGTGCCTATAAGCCCAGCTACTAGGGGGCCGAGGCAGGAGGATTGCTTGAACCTGGGAGGTGGAGGTTACAGTGACCTGAGATCACGCCACTGTACTCCAACCTGGGCAACAGAGTGAGACTCCATCTCAAAATAAATAAATAAATAAAAATAAAAAAAGAAGTCAAGGGACTAGACAGTCCTCCGTCCCCCAAACCACTGAGTAAAAGGGGTTTCTTGTTTGGTTGACTGAATGGGAAAATGCCCCCTACTTTGCTGCCCTTTTGAAATATAATGAAAGAAAAAGGAGAAGAAAAAAAAATCCCCTGAATCCTACCTAACTCCAAGATAATCACTGTTAACGTTTTAGTCTAATTCTTTCTGGATACTGAGGTTGGTTTTAGTATGTTTTTAGCAGAAGTCTTTCAGTGTATGGATCAAGGTTTATTTCTGGCTTCCTCAGCCTTCCCTCCTTCGCGGGTTTTTTTGGACTCTGTCAATCAGAGGCCCTTGCCCGGGACAAGGTGGCGGGGAATCCCACTTGGCAAGGGACGGTGGGGAATTATCCGGGGTGTCAGGATTTGTGGGAAACTCTGTTCTCCTAAATGACTCCAGAGTTTTCTTCCTTGCTTTTTCAAATATTGCACAAGTTTGGTCAGGGAGCCAAGCCCAGGCTGGACTCAGTCTCTGGCTGTTGGAGGAGAGACCTCTGGTGGTCGGAGAGGACACCTTGCTCCTGCTGCGAAAAGGATCCTGGGCGCTCGTGTAGCCCACTGCCTTCCTTTCACTGGTGATGGAGAAACAGGCTCAGGAAGGAAGGCCCATGCCAAGGTCACCTGGTTACACCTTGCTCCTGCTGTGAAAAGGATCCTGGGCGCTCGTGTAGCTCACTGCCTTCCTTTCACTGGTGATGGAGAAACAGGCTCAGGAGGGAAGGCCTGTGCCAAGGTCACCTGGTTGTGCTCTCAGTTCCAGTAAAGTCTGCAGGGTTCTGGGATCAACCTGCCTGGGTTCAAGTCCTGACTTGACCACTTTTTAGCAGTGGGACAGTAGGCCACATAACCTCTCTGAGGCTCAGGCCTGAATTTTGGCAGGATTGTGGGGATAAAGTTAAACAACCTATGTAAAATGCTTGGCACAGAGTAAGCGCTTTATAGCCAGGGTGGGCTTCCCCTCAGATGACACTGGTAATAATCACGACAGGTTGTCAAAGGTGTGCTCTGCGGCAGGTGCAGGCTGCTGCTGTGCCTGAATCGCCTGCTTTAACAGAATCCTCTTCATGACCCCCTGAAGGAAATGCTGCTATGACCCCATTTTGTACTTAAAAGGAGCAAGGTTCAGAGAGGCCATGTGACTTGGCCCATGTGATCCCTGACATTCTCACAGCCTGTCCATTCACCAAGGGCTTTCTTGGTTTTTTGTTTTTTGTTTTGTTTTGTTTTGTTTTGTTTTTCAGATGGAGTCTCTCTCCGTTGCCCAGACTAGAGTGCAGTGGCATGATCTAGGCTCACTGCAACTCCGCCTCCCGAGTTCAAGTGATTCTCCTACTTCAGCTTCCCAGGTAGCTGGGATTACAGGCGGGCACCACCACGCCCAGCTAATTTTTGTATTTTTAGTAGAGATGGGGTTTCACCATGTTGGCCAGACTGGTTTTGAACTCCTGACCTCAGGTGATCCACCCGCCTTGGCCTCCCAAATTGCGGAGATTACAGGGCTGAGCCACCCCACCCGGCCCTCACCAAGGGCTTTCTGTATGGCTTCAACAATCCAGAGATGTAGGGAAGGTGGGCATTTGGAATTCCTGGTTGGTAGATGAGAAAATCAATTCAATTTGCCCAAGATCGAAGCCCAGTGCCCCTTCCCCTACCCTGATCCCAAGCTGTGGCCTTCCTCACTGCCCAGTAGCCTGGCCTCAGGGCCCAGTTCCTACCCCCCACCATGGCTGGCCACGGCCTCCCTGGGGAATGTCTGCAGGGCAGGCCAGCAGCCAAGGAGTCACAACCCCAGGGTGCGGGCCTTGCCTCCACACGCCCTCACCTGGGCTGAATCCTCTGTTCCCGCCCTCGACGTACCTGTGTGCCCGCTCCTCCTGCTGGGGCCCGCCCCTGCCCACCAGGCAGATGAGAAAAGGGCCCTACTCCAAACACGACCCCGACCTTGCAATTGACAGCCTCTGCCTCTAATGGAGACCAACACAAGAAGAGGCTGCTCTCCAAGGAAAGCCTCCCGAGAGGACTTTACTTATTTGTTTGTAATTTTTATTTGCAGTCAGGAGTACATATGCAGGTTTTTCACATAGATAAACTTGCGTCGTGGGGGTCTGTGTAAATGAAGGGGGTGGAGTGGAGTGGGGAAGAGGCCTGAACGCAGCATGCCAAGCCCACACAACGTGGCTGCGCTGGGGACACCTGGAGTCACCTCAGAGCTGTGGCTTCCTCAATTGTAAAGCAAGAGATCAGAGGCCGGGCGCAGTGGCTCATGTCTGTAATCCCAACACTTTGGGAGGCCGAGGCCAGCGGATCACAAGGTCAGGAGATCGAGACCATCCTGGCTAACACAGTGAAACCCCATCTCTGCTAAAAAATACGAAAAATTAGCTGGGCGTGGTGGCAGGCGCCTGTAGTCCCAGCTGCTTGGGAGGCTGAGGCAGGAGAATGGCGTGAACCCAGGAGGCGGAGCTTGCAGTGAGACGAGATCGCACCACTGCACTCCAGCCTGGGCGACAGAGCGAGACTCTGTCTAAAAAAAAAAAAAAAAGAGATCGGGGAAGTGACTGGCTCTGAGGTCCCTTCCAGCCGTGACACCTCAGACTCTGCAGGATGGTGGGGCTCTGGCCAAGGCCTTGGGTGAGGGGTTGATCTCTGGGGGTCCAGGTGGAACAGGGCTTCTCAGTTGATCTCTAGGGGTCCAGGTGGAACAGGGCTTCTCAGCCCTCCCCTTAGGCGGTGTGAGGCTTGGCCCAGCATGGGCAGGGCGTTCTTCTCGCACCACACACACAGTGAGCCGAGGCTCGGGCTGCTCGCAGTGTGTGTGTCCAGCACTTACTACATCCCTGCACTGTGCAGGGCTCCGGGAATACAGAGCTCACAGTCCAGTGGGGAGACAGATTAGACAGTGTGAAGAGGCTCTCCTGAGGGTGAACTAAGAGAGCACTGGAGACAGATTAGGGACCCCAGCCCCCGTAATCTTGGGAAGGCTTCCTGGAGGAGGCAGCATCTGAGACCACAGGTCTAGCAGGGGTGGATGAGCAGGATAGGATCGATGTCCGCTTCAGGAGTGCCACCAAAGCCCGCCCTCCCTGCCCTGCCACTGGAGTGAGCCAGCCTCAGTGGAGGAACCTGGGAGGGGGTCAGGCTGGGGTCACGGAGCCCCAGGAGCTAGCACATGCCTTAACCAGTGCCTCTTGGACTTTGGCAGGTGCAGCTGGTCCAGGACCCGGCAACAGGAGGGAACTTCGTGGTGAAGGCAGGTGCCACCCTGCCACTGCCACTCTGCATTCCCCTTGGATCTTTCTGAGGGCTTTTGGAAACTCCTACCCAGAACCTGCATTAAGAAGCCTACACTCCCTCCCCCAAAAGCTGCTTGTTCTACCCGAACATGCCCCGCTTTCCAAATGGACACACATGCACATACACACAAATACACAAACACACAAATACACATGCACACACACATGCACACACAAACACATGCACACACACTGCCCCCTCTTTGGCTAGAGGGTGGAGGACCCGGATTCTACAGGGGTAATGGGGGTAAGGACAGGTCAGGAACTGAGGGAGGCATTTGCTCCACCCTCATTCGGGTGCCCCTGAAGCCAGGGCTAGGAGGTCCCCTAACAGCAGCAGTCTCTGGCCTGTCCCCGGCTGATCTGCCTGCCCTGCCCCTCCCAGAGCCTACCCAGGTGCCACATGGTGAGCCGGGAGCGGCTGACCATCATCCCACACGGAGTCCCCTACATGACGAAGCTGCTCAGGTACTTTGTGAGCGAGGACTCCATCTTCCTGCACCTGGAGCATGTGCAAGGTGAGCAGGCCTAGGGGCCCCTGTCAGCTGCCCAGGACTTTGGGATATGTTGTCAACTCTTAAAATGCTGAGCCCTGGCAGGGCGTGGTGGCTCATGCCTATAATCCCAGCACTTTGGGAGGCCGAGGCAGGCAGATCAACTGAGGTCAGGAGTTCCAAACCAGCCTGGCCAACATGGTGAAACCCTGTCTTTACTAAAAATACAAAAACTAGCCAGGGGTGCTTGTGTGTGCCTGTAATCCCAGCTACTTGGGAAACGGAGGCAGGAGAATGACTTGAACCTAAGAGGTGGAGGTTGCAGTGAGCCAAGATCATGCCACTGCACTCTAGCCTGGGCAACAAAGCAAGACTCTGCCTCAAAAAAAAAAAAAAAGCTGAGACCTGGGGAGGGGCGGAACTTGCACCAGATGTACAGCACAGACCGGGGGACCCGGCCTTTCTGGAGGCCAGTCAGGCTGTTGTGGGCCTGTGTGCGGTGCCAAGGGGGCAGGGGACATCCTGGGGAGGATGCCCACATCGTGGGTGGGCGTGAGAATCAAAGCTGTCTCCTCTGTCACTGTTTCCTCCTGCGTTGACTCTTTTCATTTTTCTGGACTGTGCCGATCCCTTGGGAGTGGCCAGACAGGGTGGTGGTGACTGAAGTTATGATTGTATTGATGACTTTTTAAAGTGAGGTCCACATCTGGGGTCATGACACATAGTCATCATCAGTCTGTGCCTGGCCTTCTTTAAATTTCTTTGTATCAGTCTCCCTAAAAACAGTGTTCACATTAGTGAACCCACCACCCAAACCACAGACACTGGCAGTGCTGGACGTCTGTCGGTGGTGTGCCAGTTTGTGAGGCTGGGCCCGCTTTAGGTGGGTCAAGAGGAGGGCAGAGGGCATTCTAAGCTGAGGGGTGGGAGGGAGCAGAGGTGAGGGGCTGAACTAGGCCCGGACACCCAGAGGCAGAAAGTCTGTGCCCAAGACAAGGGAGGCAGGAGTGGGAGCGGGCCCTGGCATCCATGCTCTTTTTCTCCCTGTCCCCATGCTCACCGCTCCCTCTGCATGGCCCAGGAGGCACTCTCTGGTCCCACCTGCTCTCCCAGGCGCACTCCCGACATTCTGGGCTCAGCTCTGGCTCTACCCAGGAGAGGATGAAGGCTCAGCTCAACCCCCACCTCAACCTCCTGACCCCAGTGAGGATCCCCTCAGGCCACACCCCTGACCAGGACAGAATCGCCCTGGAGCCTCCTAGGACTTCTCCGAGCCTTCCCCTAGCCGGGGAGGCCCCATCCACCAGACCCCAGAGGGAGGCTGAAGGTGAACCCACAGCCAGGACCAGCACCTCTGGCTCCTCGGACCTTCCAAAGGCCCCAGGTGGCCACCTGCACCTTCAAGCTAGGCGGGCTGGCCAGAACTCAGACGCTGGGCCCCCTCAGGGACTCACTTGGGTTCCCGAGGGGGCCCTGGTGCTAGGGGGCTGTGGCCGAGGCATGGATCAGAGCTGCCTGTCAGCAGATGGGGCCGGCCGGGGCTGTGGCAGGGCCACCTGGAGTGTGAGAGAGGAGCAGGTGAAGCAGTGGGCGGCGGAGATGCTGGTGGCACTGGAGGCACTGCATGAGCAGGGGGTGCTGTGCCGGGACCTCCACCCCGGGAACCTGCTCCTGGACCAGGCAGGTAGGTGCCCTCCCCACCCCTCAGGGGGGCAGCCCCCAAAGCCTCCTCAGGCAGAGGACGAGAGATCCCCAAAGTCGAGGGGACCTCCAAGGTTGTCTTCTCCTCCCTGGCCCCAGCCAGCCTTTCAGTGGGCCTAGGCCGGAGTCTGTTGGCTGAGGCTCCTGGGAGTACCCTGTGGGCTCTGTGAGCCTCAGGGTGCTGTGCCCCTGCAGAGGTTCTGCACAGCAAGGCCATTGCCTCCCACCGCATGACTGTTGGGGGAAGCCCTGGAACCTCCTCCCCTGTGTCAGCTGTCCTCAATCTTTGTCCCCTCCTTTTTCCTCCTACACACTGGAGGTCACATCCGGCTCACATATTTTGGCCAGTGGTCAGAGGTGGAGCCCCAGTGCTGCGGGGAGGCCGTGGACAATCTCTACAGCGCCCCAGGCAAGAAGGGGGAGGCCGGGGTGGGCCCTAGCACCTGGGTGCCTTTGTGGGGGTTGCGCCCAGAGTCTGAGAATTGACAGAGGGGGTGGGTGGTGTCTGGGTAGGCTGGGGAGAACGGAAGAGGCCCTCTTGGGTGAGGCTGGGACCCGTGTTCTTGTTCCCACAGAGGTGGGTGGGATTTCTGAGCTGACAGAAGCCTGTGACTGGTGGAGCTTTGGGTCTCTACTGTATGAACTGCTGACAGGAATGGTGAGTGGCTGGGCTGGGTGTAGTGCTCTGGTGGGTGCCACTGAGTGTGGGATGGGCCAGGCTTAGTCCAGTCACTCAGTCTGGGCAGAGACTGCCTGGCTGTCCTGCCAGCACAGCTGCCCCCAAAGCCGGGGACACACTTAGCACTCCCAGCACATTAGTTGGCTATAGCTAACGAGACTGTCAGCTTCTGTGAATGAGAGTAGAGTGGGGTGGTCAGTGAAGGTTTCTGCCAGAGAGAGCCTGGGCCCAGGTGGTGTTTAGATTTGGAGGAAGCGCAAAATGTGACACAGCCCTTCTTCCCTGGAATTCTGTTCAATCCTCCTGAGCCCACTGTTCACTTCTCCCACGCATGCCCTCGTGGGCTGCCACTCCCAGACCTTCGCTGGAGGATGGGAGAGAGGGGCTCTTTCACTCTTTTGCCCTGTCCAGCCTGGGTCAGCCAAGAGCTCAAAAGATCCCCCACAAACACTCCAGGAACCTGTGTTTGCAGGTTGCAGTCAGGGCAGGCACTCTTGGGAACAGTAGATGGCTCTGCCCTCTATCCTCCTCACTCATGAGCTCAGCACCACAACTGAGACCAGTTTTGTAGGCAACAAGGGAGAGGCCAAAGTGCATATGAGCAGGAAATAGCCAGAATGGATGCAGCGTGAACTGAAGTCCAGATCTGACCAGTCCATCCGGGGTCCCTCCTGCTTTCGTCCCATGGCACAGGGCCCCTGAGAGTCCTGGTTGCAATTTCCCCCCGAGTGGCTCTCTCCTTCCTGTCTCCTCTCACCTCTCCAGCCCAGAGCTCCTGGCCTTCCTCCTAGGGGTTCCTGGAAGTTCATACTTCCCTCCAGACAGACCCTCTGCTCCCCAAAGCTGTGCCTTTCTGGGGTGTGGAGAGGTCCTATTTTATTTTATTGCCACGCCCCTGCCTTGGCCCCGATGGTAGCATGCCGTGGCCTGCTGCCAAATGAATAGCCCATGTGGATTTTTTAAATAAGGAGAAAAGTTCCATCACTGTTCTCAAGAGTGCCTGCCCTGATTGCAACCCAAGATAGTTGCTTCTAGCAAGCTTGGAGCCAAGACCTAGGTTCAAACCCTGAACTTGGCACAAGTCCCTTTACCTCTCTGGGCCTGTTTCTTGCCTTTTGTGGATAATGTAAAGGCACTGCTTAGCCATCAGGCAGTGTCTGGCCCTGGCAACTATAATTATTGTCATCATCCTCATGGGATGTGACATGGGAAAAAAAAATCCTGGCTGCCACTGTAAGGTAGACAGTCCTGGGGTCGCCTCCTCAGAGGCCCTTCCCTGTGTCCTCCCAGGCACTGTCCCAGAGCCACCCTTCAGGAATCCAGGCCCACACCCAGCTCCAGCTGCCTGAGTGGCTTAGTCGTCCGGCGGCCTCTCTGCTGACTGAGGTGAGGTGTAGCCCGGCCAGAGGAAGCAGCTGCCTAGCCTGAGAAAGGTGCTGGGAGGGGCACAGAACTGTGTCTGCACCACGTGTGCTTCGTGCTCAGTGTCTGAAGTGGATGCAGAGGATAGTAGGGTCAACACATTTCTACATGTTGGTGGCCAACTACCACTAATGTCCTCAGGGTAAAATGTGGGTTCCACGGGCCAGGTTGCCAGGGAGCAGGCCCCCTAGGGGCCATAAGTGGTTGGAGTCCCTGGAGGTCACCCTATGCCTTCGCAGCCAGAGGGGGGGCAGGCCAGCTGACTGGGCCTCTCTCTGCAGCTGCTGCAGTTCGAGCCTACCCGGCGCCTGGGCGTGGGAGAAGGTGGTGTCAGCAAACTCAAGGCCCATCCCTTTTTCAGTACCATCCAGTGGAGCAAACTGGTGGGGTAAGAGGGTAGAGCGGGTGACGGAAGCAGCTGGCCTGGTCTGGATCGCCTCTCCTCCTTGCCTGACACCCAGGGCTGGCCCTCTATCAGCGGGCTTCGGGCGAGGAATGGAGGGCACTGCCTGTCCTACTGGGCTCCCACTGGGACCTCAGAATTATGGCCACCACCCAGGAAGGGTCAGCTCCTGGAAAAGCTGGAGGTGGGGGCAGTCAAGGCCTGCCCTGCTAAGCAGCTTGAACCTTCCACCCATCAGTCAACAGACCCATTGAGCATGTGGACTCACCATGTTAAAGGCTGCCCTCTGTGTCACTGGCGCTGAGCTCTTGACCACCTGCTGCACCCTACTGTGAGGTGCTGTGACTCACTCACTGCCATGTTGTGCCCTACTCAGGACATCTCTGGAGACTCATCTCAGGACACTGATCCACTGGCTCAGTGGACCCAAACCAGACTGTCCTGGCTAGTCCTCTTAGTCACACAATGAGTGGGCCTCTTCCACCAGAAGCTGTTACTGCAGCTAGAGAGGCTCAGAAGCAAGGATGCCATCTGTAGTGTGGGGAGGGATAAGGTAGGGGACAGGAAGACCCCCCCATTCCTGACCATGCCCCCTATCTTGCGATTTCAGACTTGGGAGAGCAAAAGGGAGGGGAAGAAAATAAGAGGAATGGGGGGAGGAAGGAATGCACAGCTCTGCCCCTTAGAGCAAGTCTGAAACCAGAATCAAGAGCCCTCCTCCCCAGTGGAGCCAGCTGTGTGGGGGGAGGGGGGCAGCCTGCCCCAGGGGTACAAGAGGACAGCAATTCAGCCTCCAGGCCAAAGCAGCTGAGACAAGGTGTGCCCATCAGGATCCCCTCTCAGGCTTTGGCTGTTTACCATGTCACTGCCTACTGTGACTTCATGTCCTTTAGGGGTAAGAAACCACAAAACGTATGGAACAATTATCCATGGCTCTTAGCCAGAAACGTCTTGCTTCTGGTCTCTGAAAAACTGGGGTGAGTGGTTGTCCCAAAGACAATCGCCCCCAGTTTGGGGGCTCCTCTCAGGGTTCACCCTGTCACCGGGGTGTGGGACCTGGGAAACTTCCACTAGACTTTTGCCCCCAGCTCCTCCCCGCCAGCATCCCAGTCACCACCAGATGGCGCTTCCTACATGGTCCACCTGTCTGGTTCTGAAGGCCCAACTCTGTCAGGCCAGACTCCTGTCACTCATGGTGGGGAGACCTGACTTCCTCGGGCTCTTCAGGAGACTGAGACAGAGAGGACAAGCGAAAGCGCAGCCTGTGTGTGACTCTCCGCGGTTCACATCCTGCCTCTCCCTGGGGTTTACCTAGCCCCAATAAAGCCTGCTCTGGCCTATGGTGTTCTTGCTTCTTCCATGCAATGACCGCGGCTCACTGGGGCAGGTTGGAAGGCTCCCCCATAGACGCTCCAGAGTGAAGTCAAGAGTGAGCTTGGGGGCTGCCAGGAAGTAGGATGCAGGGCTGGTGGTGAGCAGCATGCCACCTGTGCCCTGGGCCTCAGGGGAAGTGGTGAGGTCAGGAGGAGGACCAGGCTCTGTGGGGAAGAGGATAAAGAAGCCTTGGAAGAGGCTCATGGTGCCTGGGGGAATGCCAGTTGCATCCTCACAGTGACCCCTTGCAACAGAAGGTAGCTCCTGAGAAAACTGAAGCTCAAAGAGGTTAAGCACACAACCTAGCCAGAGTTGCAAGTTAGTGTTCCTTCTGCTACTCTCCCTAAGTCAGGCTGGACCACTTCCAACCACTGCTTCATGAAACACAAGTCACTTCTGGAACTTCTGTGCTTCATCCACCCAACGCTACATGTCTGGTACCTTGTTGGGCCCTGAATTTAGAATACTGTGGGTCCCAACTTACAGTCGACCTCCTTTCAATAGAATGGGGCAAGCAATGCCTATTTTGCAGGTTTACCAGATAAATTAAAGCTTCTAACACCAAGTCCTGTTCTTCCTTTCATTCAACTTAATTTTTCTATCTACTAGAGCTCTAGTTCTACCCTCTGGGACCCACTTCCCTCCTGTGAGACCTTCACAGAGGGATGGCCTCACTGCAAGAGCGCTCAGCAGACAGGGACTGTGGAAAGGCAAGGCTGTGTTTAAGCCTGGAATCCATCACACCTGCCACCTGCAGTCTAGGTTAGCTACCAACCCTGTATACTCACCCTCACTGACCACTGCTCCTAGGAGGTCATCAACTCTCACCTGTTCATGTGTATTGACCTTGAGCATCTTGGTACACGACGTAATCAAATCCAAATGAAATGAGATGCTCCCACCCCTCCCAAATCCATCACTGAAATAATGTAAGCCCCCACAAAAAAGGCAAGTCTACTGGTGTTTTGAAAGGGCTTCATCAAGATAGTGACCCCAAATTCTCTGGAGTATGGCTTGATGGGCTCAAGGAAGCTGGGGCACTAAGAGACTATGATGCTTTTGAAAACTTAAAAAAAAAATAAAATCCCAAGCCCCCCAACCATCTGTATGGACCCTCCTCTCAGTCAAGGGCATTCCAAAGTTAACCTGAAAAGCTACTTCAGGCCATGGTGGGAAGAGGGAGCCAGCCATGGCTCATTATACCCTAAAACAGGCTCCTTAAGTCTGATGAGAAGCATTTACAATCTATTTTCTCTGAAGCCTGCTGGCTGGAGGCTTCATCTGCGTAAAACCTTGGTCTCCACGACTCCTTATTGTAACCCAGACATTACTTTCTATTGATTCCAGGTCTTTAGATAGTAACTCTTTCAATAAATTGCCAATCAGAAAATCTTTGATTCTGCCTATGACAACACCCCTAGGCCTTGAGCTGTCCTCCCTCTACAGACCAAACCACTGTACATCTTACATGTATTGACTGGTGTCTTATGTCTCACTAAAATGTATTAAATGTGTAAAACTAAGTTGGAGCCAGACCACCTTGAACACATGTTCTCAGGATCTCCTAAAGGTGGTGTCACAGACCATCAGTCACTCACATTTGGCTCAGAATAAATCTCTTCAAATATTTTACAGAGGTTGACTCTTTTTGGCAACACTTTCCTGGCTGGCAGTCAGGATTCTATCTTCTGTCAAATTAGGACAAATTAGACAAATCCCTTCCACATAAGGGATTTCTGATTCCACAAGATAAGCAACGGGACCTTAAGTGGTTTTCAGTGATGTCAGTGCAACAGTGCTGGGGACCTGTACCACCTCGGTAGCCAAAAGGAACACAGATACAGGAACCCTGTTTGAGAATATTTGCCCTTTAATTTGCATTTAAAATCAGTTTCTTTAAATACTTTAGTTACAAGTTCTGAATAGTGAAGACAGAGTAGTAGATGCTGCAGGCACTCAGTATTGGCTCCCACCCCTTCCCCCCTCCCCCACCCCCAGGCCTCACTTCTTGTCTCAAGATACAAAAGGGCACTCTCTACTGGCCCCGGTGTCAAATGTCAGCAGCCTCAGGCCTGGATGCAGTTGGATACAAAGCCATGAATCCCAGTAGCTTTCATTCGCATTTAACCATGCTCCAAGGAATTCCAATGATTGTGCCCGGATCCACGGGCAACACACCTTAGAAATGACCTCATCCATTTCACTACTATGTACTAACACCCTCAGGGTGGTTTCCTACCCCAGTCCATGTCCTCCAGATCTGTGTCCTGCAGAGGAAGAGACAAGGCCCCACTATAACGCAGGAAGGAATAAGAACTGCCTCCTCAGCCCACGTGCTTATAGCAACTTAATTGAAAAGCTCAAGTCAATCTGAGTCAGTCTAGAGGAGACCTCCCTTCCCCAGTCTCTACCAGGCTCCGGCCCTTCCTCGGGACCACGCTCGGTCCCACTGCCATGATGTGCTAGAATCTGCTCTAAGTAAGAACAAGGTGCTAGAATGAGGCCCAGCAACCAGGAAAGGGTTTGGAAAGGGTTGCTACAGCCCCAGCTGTGTTTGAGATTGTGCCAAGACGAGTCTTCCTGGTGTAAGCCTATGATGGACAGCGTCAGCCCAGGCTCTCCTATGGTGATTACAACACGTGACCTCAGGGGACCTCTGCCCTCTCCTCCCACTCACACACCCAGATCCCCTGGCCTGTGCTTCCTGGAAGAGGTAGAAGAGGCATCTTGAAGTAAATGACAACGGAGAATGAAGGTGCCACTGAAGAAGAAAAGCAGCACCTCTTTGCCTGTGTTCAATCCCTCCACACAAGTGGAATCAAGGGAGAATGTGCACAGCCAGGACAGAGGCTGCTCTGAGCTTGGGAGGCACAGCATCCTCCTAAACATCTCTGCAGAACAAACTTTCAAAAGATAGGAACTTAATAACATGGTCCCCGGGGGTTTCTCTATAGTATACCAGCACTAGGGAGAAGCAAAATCATCTCTGCGGAGGGTTGATGGAAGAAAGGCAGGAATATGGATGAGCATCCATTAAGGCTCTCTCTCTCAAGCCTAAGGAATTAAGATATTCGAGGGTATGAGACAGGTGCAGAGAGAGAGACAGCCTGGCAGGAACACCAAGAAAAGACCTGTGACTGCTGGTTACATAGTGCTCTGCTTCCTTGCTTGAGGCCAACAGCATGTGCCTGCCTGTCACCAGGCTAACCCGGGACCCATGACGGGACAGGGAGAAGACTGATTTTCAGTTCCTGCATGATCAATTTATAGGGTGTGTGGGTTCCTCCTAAAGATCCAGGAGGAGGACTCTGGGATCCTCTACCGCTGCCTTGATTTTGCGGAGGAAAGTCACAGCCTCTCTGCCGTCAATCAGCCGGTGGTCATAGGTCAGTGCCACATACATCATGGGCCGCACCTCCACCTACAGAGAGGAAAGGTCAAGAGGTTTGTCCCCAGCAAGCCACAGCCAGCCTTGCTGAAGGAGGAGATTTAGCATGGCCCATAAGAAAGTTCCTATTTCCAGAGCCTTTCCTATTGATGTTGCCTCTGCATATTTACAGTATTTTCAAAGACCAGGCCTTACTCTCAGTGCAAAGCTTCCCCACTCAGAAACAAAGCTTGCCAAGAAAACTGTCCTCTCACAACTGTCTTTTATTTTTTAAAAACATACTCTGCCCTCTAATGCATCTGCTGCCTACGAGGAAAGTTTTCCCTTCAGTTCTGGCTGCCTGTACTTGCTTCTCTGGCGTTAGAATTTAAAAAAAAAAAAAAAAATTAGGCTGGGGTCTACAAATTCTGGAATTGTATGTGTAGTTGGGTGTGTGGGCATTTTCCAGGAAGATCTACGGATTTTGGTTTCACACAGGAGTCAGTAACCCAAAAGGATTCTAAACACAGGAGTTCCCAGAAAGCTTTTTGATATCAACATATCTTCTAAGGGCCAGCTCAAGCCCCTTTAATACTTAATTCTCTGAACTCCTGGGAAACTTCCAAGCTTTATCATACAACTTGCCAGCTCGTAGACTGACATGCATAAATGTCATCTGTTTCCCAGGGGCAAGGGACCACGTCTCCAACTATATCCCCCACTCCACAGAAGCAAACAAGCCTTCTCAGCTCAGTTGTTCTCAAACTTGAATATGCATCAGGATCATCTGCACTTCTTCTTTAAGTCTGGGATGGGGTCTAAGAATATGCATCTCTAACAAGGTCCCAGATGATGTTGATCCAGACCACAATTTGATAATCAGTGCCTTAGCTATTAGAAACTAAGAAATGGAACTTAGGCCTGGAATTATAGTTAATGTTTTGCAATTAGCATTGAGTTGGATTTCCCCTTCATCAAGACCTAGCCACTAGGACCTTAGAAGTGAGTTCCTACCTTGCCTCCTACAGCCACTGGCCTGTCAAAGATGCCATGCATCCCCAGGATGGCAGACTGAGGGGGGTTGATAATGGGTGTTCCAAAGAGCGAGCCAAAAACGCCTCCATTGCTAATGGTGAAGGTACCGCCATCCATATCTTCAATGGCAAGTTCATTCTTTCGGGCCTAAAAACAGATTTTGTAATTGAAATATTAAGCCAACCCAGCTTCCTTCATCTAAAGTCAGTCCATAATCCCAGCACTTTGGGAGGCTGAGGCAGGAGGACTGCTTGAGGCCAGTTCAAGGTCAACCTGGGCAACACAGTGAGACCCCACCTCTACAAAAAAACTTTATTAGCTAGGCGTGGTGGTGCACACCTGTAGTCCCAGCTACTCAGGAAGCTGGGGCAGGAGAATCACTTGAGCCCAGGAGTGCAAGGCTGCAGTAAGCTATGACTCTACCACTCTACTCCAGCCTGGGCAACACAGCGAGACCCTGCCTCTAAAAACAAAAAAGCAAAGGAAGTCCAGAAAGCTTGTATCATGAGATTGATGGCACAAGCGCCAGCCTCCGTGTGACAGTTTTCCGGTTGAGGTGTCTATGAC